CCTGCTCAATCCAAGCATTGTCGAGCCCCTTGGTTGTATGCAGACAGTCGCGTATTACTGATATTTTGGCATACTGTATATTGGAGCTCGCAATTCCTGACTTGGTTGGCTTCCGTTTTACCGCATACATTCTCTTTTGTTGTCTTCTAGGTTATTGATCCCAATTATGCGATCTTTTTCCACGGCTGGCGATTTCACAACCATGGCGAAGTTGAGAACTGCTTTGGTAGATAATGCACTGTACTACACATCCTATCTGGTCATATTTATAACCGCACTGGTTTATTTGTTGGCCAAGAAAGCTATCAAATTGGATTTGTGAGTGCATTGCTTATTAGGCCCGTTAAATGCGACTATGAGAATGCAACGTTTGCCTTGCGGCTTTTATTGTTGATTTATTGATTAATGATTCCCGTTACATGCTGTTACCCATCACAACGTGGCAAGGAATGATCCACATTCATGATTGCCCATTGTGCTGGTTGGATGTACCATAACCGCCCGCATTTCCAAGGCTCAAGCAGCATACACAGGACTGAAACACCTTTGGCGCAGACGCGACTTTTCAGTGAAGCTGAAAGATCGTGTAAATAGTGCCACCGTTTGTTCAGTTCTGCTTTATGGTTGAGACCTTGAATTTGCGAATAGATATCCGTCGACTAGAAGTTTTCGACTATCGGTGTTTACGCAGCTCAGCCCACGTAGGATGGAGCAAATGGGTTAGTAACGTGGAGGTAAGTCGTCGTGTGTTTGGGAGTTTATCAGGTATAAACCTTTCAGCACACCGGATTCAGAGTAGTAGGCTTCGCTGGCTAGGGCACGTATTGGGTATGCCCAGCTGTCGTCTGCCGCACTGCGCCTTATTCGCTGTGGCTAATCCGGGCTGGAGGAAACCACGTGGAGGTCAACAGATGACGTGAAGACGAGGCATGANACAGAGCCATTAGGTAGATTAGGTGTCTCTCGCCATCCAGATTGGGGTCCGAAGGACTCCACAACTGGTTGGTTGGAGAGATTGAAGGATATGGCAGCGAACCGACAGCAGTGGCGTTCTTGTTGTCGTTTCTTATCAGGTCAGAATGCTTGAAACGGTATGTATGCAGAGTTGGATTGCGTCCTCTGTGTTGACCATAGAAGTTAATCTTGTTCCCCCGCCCTCAAAATAGGTTCAATCCCTGTCCATCTTATATTTTACCACTAACCTTGTATACATTGTGAGTTTGACAGCGATCAGTAAGGCTCACCTCACTGTATTTCGCTGTACGATGATGATGAATGATACTGATAACCCACATAAACCAGACAACATCGGTGTTACTTATCACCAAAGTTGGGATCATTGATGATGTTTACGCCTCGAATCCTTGCAATGACAAAGTTTGTGGAGCAGTTAAGCTTCACAGAAGCATGCATAGAATGGCGATACCTGAAGTAAACCCTCCACTTAGCGCTTTCTAAATTATCATCAAAGATAATTTCGAATGGGTGTCATAAGAGGTATTCGGTGATCAAAACGACAAAGGTGTTCATATGCTAAGTTAGGTCAACTAGTGGCCACGGAATCATTTTGTCGCATCTCACGCAATACCTGCTCAAGTTTATCCATTGTCAGTGCTAAACCCATCCGAATAGCAAGGCTAGTGTTGGGCGACACGCAACCTCAGAAGCCGAGTTCTCTAAGTTTATTCGACTCCAAATAAGAGCCAATAATAATACGGTTTCGTAAATATGAAATGGCCTAAACAACACCTCTGAAATGGTTGCGTTTCCGGAGGATATGCTTAAACCGGCTAATGGAACAATATCAATCGACAACCGAAGTGCAAACAAGGGAGTTCATCACTCTGTCAGGTGACTAAGCGGTGAGTGAAATAATGGCAGTGCGCCCATGTGCAAATTGGTCAGTGCGACGCATCTGAATAAGCAATCCAACTGAACAATCAGAGGGCAGAGAGTGAGTCAAATCATTTCAGGGTCAGGGACAGCAACCACGAGAGGAACTGGGAATAAACGAGTTAGATAGGCAAGCAAATACATGGAATCATTCGTGGTGATCAAGTATTGCATGCCAGGTGATCGACAATACGCACGGGTCAAGACAAGAGAGAGTGAGAGAGAAGTGATCAAACAGATTTGTGAACGGAAGAGTGTGTAGAATGACCAACAGATTCAAAACCGCTTTCCCGAGGCCGGTACGGCCTCACCTACTGCTTGTCTTGTTACTGTGCACCATGAGTTCAACCCCAAGTGAAAGTGGTACTATTTACTCTTGCCGCAGTCGCTGGACCAGACCCAGGGACGCCCTACTCGCGAGCGGTATGCCTAATCGTCGTCTGCACTTAGCAGGGAAAGAGCATTCTAATGCGTCGGTTCACGCGTGCTCACTTGCAATGTTAGTGAATGCTTTCGTATGCACTGTCTCCACAATCTATTGCTAACGAATGTGTGAGTATCACCGGTTAGTGACTGTCAAAGGTCAACGGTGAGAGGCTTTTCTTTTAATTTTACTTCCTTTTTATTGAACACAATGATACAATTTTGAGGAAGGGGGAAGNNGGCCAATCAAAGGGCTGCCATGGGGAAAGTCAGGCGGTGTTGGTGGGGTTCGAACACACCTCCGAGGTGATAATTTGGTGGTGTTACCACCGGGCCACCACCGCCCAGATAGATACTGGGGGGAGAATGAATCTGAGTGGACTCCAACTGGGATGACGCCGAACGAATTGATATTCATCGATTATCTTGAGGACATGCCTAGTGGTGAGCGGCATGATAGCTTCAGCGTTTATGTTGATAGGCTCTCGCTAACCTACGTCCTTTGTGGCGCTGATGTGTTCTCAGCCTCCCTTTGAAACGCCGTGTTTACAATGCCACAATGCACACTGTCTTACTTTACGGCTGCGAGAGTTGGCCCCTCCATGCAGAAGACGTACGGAGATTGTCTTTGACTGCCGTTGCCTTCGTTGGATCGCCAGAATACGTTGGCAACAGCGAATCACCAACAACGAGGTTCACCGAATAATCTTCATTGCAGACATTCTCAGTCATCCTATGAGTGCCGCCATCTCGCTCCAGATACTTCGATGGCTAGGACATGTGTCGAAACGCTTCGGTCACGTTTACAATGTGATTGGTCGACTTGCCACATTGTAAGCGTGACCGAAGCGTTCCGACCCCTGTATAGAGTTAAGACGGGACGGCCTAGACACGTGCGGTTTCGCATTCTAGCCACAACGGAAGCAGTTTCCACCCCCTTCTGTGTGCTCAGAAACAATTTGTGCAAGCACTTAAGCTTCCGTGGCCGGATTGCCGACAAGTGACTTGTCATGCAACATCGGAGCAACTGATTATTGGGGATCAATTATGAAACAAACTCTTGAATACTTTAATTACTTTTCCTCTCTTTTCCCCCTTGTAAATCCTTCTTTGCTGCTAGTCATATTTATTGTGTTGTAATGGCATGGTTAAGACACATTGAAAACGAGCTTGTTTACCAGTTTGTGTTTTCATTATGACCTCCGTGGGACTGTTTAAACAAATATGTACAAATGTTCATTGGTCTATGCTTTTGTCGTGAACAGCTGCAGAGGTAGTACAGCACTTTTCCTAAACCAGCGTTTGATTATCCGATCCATCCTGCGGTCGGTAGTCCTTTCCGATAGGTGTCAGGGATTCACGGACCATGGAGCTTGTTCATCTTTCAATGAGGAAGGAGCATCGTTAGTTCGGTTTGGATAATCGACTTCAAACACCCTGGAAATATTCGATTGAACCTTGGTTCCAGTTGTTAGACACTTAATCAAACCCGACAAACCTGAAGGTTCATGCGTTGGTCTAAATAACACTCGACCACTGGCAATCATCGTTGCAAACTGTTGTTTTGAAGTTCTAACTCGTTGGTCCAAAGATCAGTGGGATTTTGGCACGTTCGTACCGAAAAGGATCCCTGTCTCCAAGTAGGATTTCATCGAGTTGAACATCTTTAAGATGTGATCAGTAGAGTAACCCAGTACGGTGCTAGTGGCACTTTCTCCACTGGGAGTTTCTCTGCAGTAAATGCGCGATCCATCTCAAAAGTATAACCTCCCCATACCTATTGGATGTTTAATTTGACGATTGAGGTTTCCCTAATTGCTTCTCCCTTGGTGGATCTGATATGACTCGCAACTATAGTGTATACCCAACCATTCCTAGATTCTTAGCGACCATCCTGGAAAGCAAGGTTTGTCGGAACCAAAAGGGCATCTGTTTATTTCGAGCCGCACGGATCCATCACTCGAACGGGTACAAACCCAATTCAAGTGGGTTAGATCCGCAAGAATCAAGGTTTATTCCCCATTGTTTGGAGTCCAGTAAACCTCGAGAACATTGGGGCTCAGCTTCTGAGATTGCGCGTCANCTCAACGTTGGCCTAGATAATCGTTTGGATTTAATGGTACTCAAATCCCTTTTCCCGTGATCTCGTTTGGAATTATCGCCCGGAACAAAAAAGGAACATAATGCTCATCATTTGATGTAAGTCACCTACTCAACTGGTCAAAGATCAGCAATTCAAAGTCAGACAAAAAAGTGGATTTCACAGAGGAATATCTCATGGAGAGCTTATAAACGATCGCCTTGCTACAACACATGGTATACCTACTGTAAACTCCGAAACCGCTGCACAAAGTTGGCGCGAGAAGNGACAAGTTAATACACCAAGGAATGCTCATGCGCAAGTTCATATCAAATCCCAAGCTGTTGTACAAACACATAAATGCCACCAGAAAAGTTAAGTTTGGTGTTCCAGCGTTAAGAGTGGCAGAACGTGTCTCAGTCATAACAAAGGAGGCAGCTGAATTGCTAAAACGTCAGTACGCTCATGTGTTCACCGCACCTGGGAATACTGGACTACGACTGCCTCTTTTACTTGAGGATACATCACAGCCAGTGCTCACCACAATTGATTTTCCCCTCGAAATCGTTGCATTGAAACTGCAGTGTTTGAAAAGGAACTCATCTCTAGGGGTAGATAATATCCATCCACAAATTCCTATCAACCTGGCAAGTAACTTAGCTCAACCACTGAGCAAACTATTCCAACAGTTGTTCAACAAAATTACGCTTCCAAAAACATGGAAACAAGGGACAATCTCTCCGATATACAAGGATGGTTGTCGTAGAGACCCAGCTAACTACCGCCCCGTTACTCTCCTCCCCGTATTATCCAAAGTCATGGAATCCATTGTGGCAGACAATGTGATGAATCACTTGGAAAAATACAACGTATTATACCCGGCTCGACATGGGTTTCGTCGCAGGCGATCTTGTACCACTAACCTGCTTCTGGCTCGAGAAGAGTGAACAAAAGCAGCTGATCACGGTGCTGCAGTAGACGTCATTTACCTCGACTTCTCCAAAGCATTCGATCGAGTGAACCACAAAATACTGCTGAGGAAACTACACAACTACGGAATTCGGGGACTTGTACTGGGCTGGATAGAAGAATTTCTTCGACAGCGCACCATGGCAGTTCGGGTTTCTGGTTCACTTTCTGATGCCATCAGCGTATCACGAGGAGTTCCACAGGGATCCGTGTTGGGCCCTCAACTTTTCCTTGTTTTCATAAACGACCTAACGGACATTCTCGGTCCACATACATTAATGTTTGCAGACGATGCAAAAATATGGAAAACGGTGACAAAACCAGAGGACTCGCTGGAACTCCAAAGAACCCTTAATGCTGCCTATCAATGGTCGATCGAAAATGAAATGGAATTTAACGCATCAAAATGTACGATTGTGTCCCTTCGACACAAAACTCGGTTCCCGTATTTTCTAGGAGATCAACAACTTCCATACGCATCGAATGAGAAGGATCTCGGCGTCATTGTTCAAGACGACCTAAGCTGTCCTTTAAACTGCTCCCGGGCATCGTCTACCGCTGTAAGACACGTTGGTTTGCTAAAACGAGTATTTGACAAATTTGAACCAATGCTGTTCCCACGATTGTTATCAGCCTACATTCGACCCCACACAGAGTACGCCATTGAAGCATGGAATCCATGGCTGCAACGCGATCAAAAGATTCTGGAATGTCCACAAAGAATGTCTACCAAAATGGTCAAAGGACTGCATTCCAAGAGTTATGCGGAAAGACTGGAATCACTGCAACTGTACTCCATACAGTATCGCCGTATTCGAGGAGATTTGATCTTGGTATACCAAATAATGCAGAACCCAGACCACCCATGTCGTCCGCTCTTTCCCTTGTCGCCCAACACACCTGCGGGGCACTCATTCAAATTAGCGCTCTAAAAATGCCGACGGCATTCATTCGCCCTCAGAGTGTGCATTACTTGGAATTCTCTACCACCACACGTTGTCTCTGCACCAACAATTGATTCATTCAAGCACAATCTGGGATGAAGCGTTGAAAAGTCTTAAATTTCAACATCCGTAGAAGCGCACGAAAAAAGGACAAATTGTGACATTCATCTACTTTGTATGTACTGTGACTCGATTTATCTATGCCAAATCCTATGGGACTAGAAAAGCCACCGCTTGTAAGTATTTCCCATAATAAAACTGACTTTGTCGGACGTTGGAGTTTTCTGGCCCTGACAGAGCCCGTTTGGATGACAATGCGATTGGTCACTCACTCACACTGGTCGATCACTGGTGGAAAAGTAGAATTCTCCCCGTACCTCTGTGTTTGATACGACTGGGAAACATACAGTTGCAGGTAGTGCTATTTCTTCCGACCGTTTAACTAGACGTAATAACAGAAAGAAGATAGAGTTGGAGCAGCTTGCGACAGAAATGAAGAAAATCGGAGATTAGGCAAATGCAGATTTGGAGAAATCAGTCTTGGACAAAGAGCATTGTGCCGAGGAAGAGAATGATTCAGGAGACGAAATCATCGCAGGATTAGATTATGTAAAGGATTAAACCAACTTTTATCGGTAGATCGATAGGTTCCCAACCCTATCACGTCGTCCAACAAAAATATGTACACGTATCGAGATGCCCTCCCGAGTTGAGTCCAGTAAGTTTTGACGGTACCCAAGAAAGCTGTGGTGGTTTTAGAACAATTTAAAAGAGGATGTTGCGTACCTTATTCATTGTTGAACTGGAAAAGTCCAAGAAGCTATGGAGGAGTGTGTATTTCTACTCGGGCACTTCATATACACGAGGGCGTTGACAATATTAGAATCCCAATTTGGTTGTCTAGATGTCGCAAAGATTTTACTGGGCGCGTTTCTACATGTAAATAAGTTAAAGGTAAGCGATGCCCATGGGCTCTGGAAGCTGATTCTCCAGGTGTTCACTAGCGAGATGCTCCTTCAGCGGATGGGTTATGCTTCTATTCTAAATTGCCTCACAACCATCAGGCGCATTATACGGTGTCTTCCTGAGCACATGCAACTGAAGTTGGTCCCGTTAGCCTCCTTGGATAGAGACCTCGGGATGATTGTAACCGCTGGTTAGAGACAGTGATATGGCTGAGGGTCGCAAGCAGTGGTGTTCTTACATCTTCGCTTAAGTGGACAGAGAAGGTAGCGAGTAGAAAACTAGATGGCATATACTTCGCAATCTAGTCTCATTTTTGGAAAACTACCTCTCAACAGCCGCCTACTTTTATGGTCAAGATGCCAATCGCTTTCAGGAAGACATAAGGAGGAGAGAGGAGAATCTAACGCACAATCATGATCGTAGAAGGCGAATAAATATGTTTACACAGCATTCTTGAACATGCCGACTTTGCCACCGCGAGTGTCCTTTATCTGTGTGCGAGGAATTTTACTTGAATGTTAACAGACAGCAGTGGAAATGTAACATAATATGGATTCTTTGCTCTGTTCATCAAGCCAAACTGTTCTATACGTCTGTTTATTGACACAGTGAAATCTTTTGGTGTTTATTTGCTATGACATCTGCAAAGCTTAACTGCCCTTCCGTTCTAGGTTGTGTAAATAATCTGGGACAACGCATCTGGATCAGCTCGGGACCATGTGGTATCAGCCATTGGGCAATTAACGACCCTAGTGTTTTGTTGGTCTATCTAGAAGGACTTGTTCTTTTTATATCTGTTCTCGTCTGACCCACGCTGGTATGCATTAGACCACCGGTGTACGGAAGAGTCTACTTCGCTCACCTTGGTCGCTCCGCACTCGTCATGAGATCCTTAGGTGACGTGTGATTTAGTTGCTCCATAGAGTTGCCTTCTGGCTAGGGGGTTGGGATTTGTACTATGAATAGAATAACTGTTTGTGCGGTTCAAAATGTGTACAAACTATAGTTCACTCGCACACAACATGCAGGTAAAGGGAAAGTTGAATGGAAACATGGAATTTGGGTGCTGTCATTCCGGGACGCTGTGCTCGCGTGTAAACGTTTCTCAATAACAGTTAACTCTTGGGATTTTCGTGAACCGCATTCATTCTTTCGCTACATTCTCTCTGAAGTCCTTAGTGGCCTAGTTGTCCAGGTTCATTGTGATGGGTCTTTGCTGACACTTTCTCGATAACCAAGAATGAATTCTTGTTGGGACACCGACAAGTTCCGGTCTCCCACACAATATGAATCCAGTGAAAATGAACAAAGCAGCATTCATAATTGATCACAACCAATGCGAACTACAAGTGGGATAGAACACAGAATTTTCCTATCCCTAAATGCACTCTAATGACTCCAGCGACTTCACTTTCCTCTTGATCTTCTTGTTCAAGCCTCGGAGTTTTTTTGACAACCGAGGCGGTCGCAATTGGTCTCTTCAACCCTTCCCTAATTGTGCGCCCAGTAGAACTTAGTGAGAACACCAGTTGCATCATTGCCATCCATGTTCAATCTGGTTATTCAACCCACGTCCATAAACGCTCATTCATTCAGGAAATGAAAGATACCCGTTGCCACATTGAAACAGAAGTCTGGTAGGTGAAACAAGCCGGGAAGTTCGTTAAATTCATCAACTGGGCACTACAATTATTTAGGGTCAGTTTTGTTCGTCGATCTGACTTTGATGGCATCAAACTATGTACAGACAGTATGCTAATTTTGTTTACAGGCTCCTCATCTATGCCAAATCCCCGGCGGTCTATTATTGGGTCTCTTCATCCCCCGGGTCCATGCCAAGGTCAAAACCCAAACAAACTGCTTCTGATTTCTAAATGGAGGATCCATTCATTCACTCCCTTTTTCATTCACAACCAAACTCCCCACCCACACCGATTAGAACAGTTACGTCATCTCATGCTAAACTGTTCATTCCTTATCGATTGCGTGTCTTCTCTCACCACGTTTGGTGCGTTGTATCAAACTCCAAACAGATGCTTGCTTGGTCACCTGTCAAAAAGTCAAAGTATTATTATTATTATTATTATTACCATTATTTAAAGTTGTCGCTTTTATTGTCCCCTTGGATTAAAATTTTTTAAATAAATGAACAGACGGATCGAGCAAATAGAAAGAGAACGAGCTGATAAATTCTGTACACAGTGCCATATTTGAGGAATGACAAAGTATTGAAAATCGGTCCTCGTAGATCGGGTGAATTGAATTGCCTGTTCACCCCGAATTTGGCGATTTGCTTGCAAACGTTTCATCACATCAGCCGAAGTGACATCGTCAGTGCTTGTGAAGTGGCCCATTCGTGAAGGAAAAATAACTCCTGGTGAATGGATACTTCTGGGCAAGCGAAAGGCTCCCTCGCTGTTCACAAGCGGCGCTGACGATTTGACTTTGGCTGGTGGTGAAATGTTTGCAAACAATTTGCCAAACTCGGCGAAATCTAATGTTTGAAGAATGTCTCGTAATTTCACTGTTTTATCTACTTTTGTGAACATGTAGGCATTTGATATACCAATATTTCATCAAGTCTCTGCTCAAAAGAATTCGTTCCCATAATTATTCAATCGGGTATATTCTCACACTTCGTTTGTTATATCAGTACGTGGATGTTGGACTGATCCGTATTCGTCTCGAACCTAATCCTCACAATCTGATACTATTAAATTTGCCTCCTATTCCCGTTTGATCTTAGTGGTTATCTGAAAGTGTTACTGATCACTGCGGCAAACACATGGGGGTTATTTTTGGTCATTCTGTTTCTCGGCTACGGTCTGGTCGCGGTACCTCGAGCTCTATGGTCTGCGGGTAATCCACTGGCCAGTTTACGTCGGGCCTATTTCACACTGAGCCAGCGCAATCTGGAGCTGGCCGACGAGGAAGACAAACTGGACGAACTGATCGAAGTAGGTTACCCCATTTTTCTCTCACACTTATTGGGGGACTATTTCACTGTGCAATTATTTGTGATCGATTTTGAGCTCAATCATTGAAGTTTGTGATATAAGTAATGCAAGTAGTCTTGCGCTCAAATTACCGGCCGTCGACCATGTAGCTGGGGGGTAGGCGTTTTGGCTCGCTAACCGAATGTTTGCGGTTCAAGGCCAGACAGGGCACGGAATTGGTACATGCATCTGATGAGTCCCGACAAGTAGGAAATAGATGTCCAAAGCAGTTTCACACACACACACACACACACACACACACACAATCACTAATAATGTGATTTTTCTGGTACTTCATTATTGATTCACAAGCGGTGGATCCCAATACTGATGGCGTGGTATATATAGCTAACGGCACTGCACACCAATTCTTGTGGACCTCAATTCCAAACCTTACCGCGGTAAGTCCAGTTTTCATCAGTCGATACTTACCTTATCTCTTAGTTCAGGGAAAAGCCTTGTCCAACTCTTATGTGATGGTTAACCCGTTTGTGTTTCACGATTAGAACTATCGTACGGAGCTGTTGACTGCGTCCATCACGATGAGGCTGCACGTCGACATGGTATGATAGCTTGCGCACCTCTCTGACCCAACGAGCTACACAGGATAGCTTTTTTCAAGCCGAAGATCTAATCACGGCCAGATGATCGGAGGGTGGAGGTCAGGCGAAATCCAATCTCCTAGTCCTCTTGGTTGGAGGTTCGATCCGAGTTCACTTTCAGTCGGTAAAAATGGTTGAGTAATCGATCCAAATAAATGGACCTCCACTTCGCTTCACCCACTGGCTTGTGGTTAGATTCTAGTCAGATTTAAAGGCCTTGGTTGGAAAAGCTAACCGTTCTCCTGCGTAGTAGCTAGACATACTAGCAGTACCCGTCCATCAAATTCCAATGCATACACAAACAAACAATAATTCCATACTGCGTCCGTGATCGTGCCGGGTAACCAAGACTGCGCTGCCCATTGCCTCGAGCGAGGTGGATAGTGATAAGTGGGCTACTGCTCAGATATCCCAACTTATGTTTAACTCCTTGTCTTTTGTATTCCACCCTTTTCCTTCACCAGTTTTTCCGACCCATAACATTCCCTCAGACAACCTCGTCAAACACTGAATCTGGGGGCCTTCAACGTGCGAGCAGTAGGCCAAGCGGTAATCCCATTGCTACTCAGTTCAGTTTGTACAACCATTAACCGCGCATATTCGTGCGTCGGTTTTGGTTGCTGTCTTCTGGCTGCCCATTTGGATGAAGAATAGGAGAAGAAAGGAAAGTTGAAAGTGGAGTCGA